TTTTTTTTTTTTTTTTTTTTTTTTTTTTTTATAATAGAAAAAGCAGTGTAGCAATTGGAGTGTATGCAGAGGCCCTACCCTTGTTTATACGGTCCATATGGTCAGGTTCAAACTCTTAGCATGGAAAGGTTGCCAGAGATTATCCTGGCCAAACAGTGCAGAGAACACAGGGCTTTTAATGGCAGGGGTGCTGGAGATGCCGAGCGACAAAGGAATGACTTGCTCAGGACAGATGGAAGCCATGACAAATGATGGCCATGAAGAGGGCCACTTTCACAGAACCATCGGAAAACCAAGATTCAAATGTTCTGCAAACCCCCCGTGAGCAGCAGGAAACCTTCATGGAGCTCATTCTATCCTGGACTTCTAGCCACATCAAGGGGAGAGACCCCAGAAGTCACTGGCTGCTGGATCCTAGCGGTCACCCACGGGGAGCCCAGCCACAGGCCATTGTGAAAAGGCTGCTATGGTGCCTGCCTCCCAGCCCGGCTCCCCTAAAGCCAAAGCTTCAAGCCAGTGGCCCTGTCTGAGCTTCTGGAATGAACAGGGGAATGATGTTGGAAAAGGGGCATGGAGGACCAGCAAGTGCAGTAAGAGGAAGAAGGGATACTTCTGTCACTCTGTGAGGGAGGGAGGGAGGCGGGGTGGGGCGCTAGGCAGAGCAAGCAGCCTGTAGACGGAACAGTGGTTGGTCACCACTGTCTAAACGCGATGGTTACTTCAAGGCCCTGAGTACCTTCTCTTTGGCACGTTCTGCGGTTCCTCCACTCCCACCGGCTACACAGCTGCCTGACCGTCCGGATGGACCTTACTTTGGAATCACAGCCACAACTTCCTAAAGTCCCCTGAACTGCATAGGCCACCAAGCAAGCAAGCCAGGAAGAAGAAGGGTCCGTGAGTTAACCTCAAGGGCATAGCTGTCTCCAAAAGACCTCCCTGGGGATCAGCACTCAGGGGAGGGCGTGACAGTTTGGCTCAAACCCCTCGTCTAAGCCAACATCAGCCTGGTACACCAGCTGCGGATTCTTTTCTGCCCCCGCTGGATGAAACAGTTTTCCAGCCATGCCTCTCTGAGTGAGCCTAAGACTATTGGCAGTTAGCTCTGATTTAGTTTGCAGGACGATTCCGTATTGTGTGTGTGTGTGTGTGTGTGTGTGTGTGTGGCAGGATAGGGGAGGGCAGTCACTGCTAGCTTTCCAGTTCATCCGTGTGTCACATTTACACGAAATCCCCTCGGTGGAAATTCTCAGATTTCCTGGCTTCCAGGTGGCCTGTCTCGGCCACGGTTATTGATTGCGCCCTCAAGAAAGACACAGCCAGGGAATAAAATCGGTAAGAGAGATTCTTATTTTCTGGATATTAAGGTCTTTCACCAATGGTGTCTTCCTGTATGAGATGGCGGAGCGGTTGGGATCTGGAATAACATAAGGACAGCGCTAAGAACTCTGCAGAGTCAACGTCAGAAACTGATGCATCCACCTCCCTCTCGTTTTCACCTGTGGGGACCTGGGGGCGGAGTCATCCCCAGAAATGTGCCCGAGGTTCATGCCGCCCACCCTCAGGGTTATACTCCACACTCAGATACTTTGGGAAGTGACGAGGAGGGGTCTTGTCTCGGGTATGCTAGACAAGGGTGCTACCTTGTGTTTCACCCTGAGCCCCTACGGCAGCCACCTTCTCTGCGCTGGCCTTGGAGGAACCAGAGGACTTCAGAATGATGGACAGGCTGTGTTGATTACAGCACACGGGCTGGCCCCTCTGGGGACCATTGGTCACAGTAAAGTCAGGCTTTTCTTGGCCCCGGGATAAAGAAGCAGCCCAGGAGGTGGTAGGGGGAGTTAAGAACTCACATCTGTGTTCCCTTTTGTCTTAGAGCCTGTTCAAAGCAAAGGGAACGAACCAGAACCTAAAAGCCTTCATAGGTCAGAGAAACCAAAATTCCCTCCCTCTAGGGATCAAAGACTATCTCTGACGGCCAATTAAAAAAGAAAGAAAAAATAAATAAATAAAAGCTTGGGTTGAATTATGGAATTGGCACAAAATAAAGAATGGAAATCATGTACACGTGAACTGGCTCATGCATTGCTTCTGAGAAGCACAGAGCTATGTCTGCAGAGAAGATGTGGGAATGAACGCCTCTTTGGGTTTTGCTGGGATGAAACAGTCATTCCAGCAGAGGCCAAAAGCAAAAGGTGACACTTTCTGCTGCGGGTCTGTTTGGCGACAGATACAGCTGCTCTGGTTGAAATTGAAGGAAACAATTCCAATTTCCTAGGCTGTCTCTTAGGGAGTTGAGGTGTGGGGGCTGGTACCTAGCTGGAGATACTGGATGAAGTAGGGACTAGGGGGCTTAAGCTAAGGTGAAGGTCAGGAAGGACGAGAGCATCCTCATAGGAAGCTCTTCCTTAGAGTCACCTTCCTGGTGACTTCCTGTGCTCAAGCAAGAAATCCACCAGGTAGAGCCCCAAGCAGTAGGTAGACACCTACAGATGGCTTTCTGAGCATGGGTGTGGGTTTTCCTTATATGAAGAGAGGTGGTAGAGAGGGCCAGACAAAGATGGAAGGCGTGCATGCAGGGAGCTGCAGTGGGCAGCCCAGAGAAGCAGCCTCCAGGTATACCCAGCTGAAGCTGCCCCCCATCGGACGCTCTTAGGCCTCCTCCCACATCAGACATCAGATTTTGATACTTACGGTCCCGCCATTGAGTACGACAGCCATCTCGGTCGGCTGATACACATTGCTTCTGAATGGCGCGCTGGGTCGGCTTCCCAGGTTGCAGGGTTTCTTTCCCAGGCTGTCGCCAGATCTTTTCCCCAAGCTTCCATTGGAAAAGCCCGATGCTGACCGAAGAGCTGAGAAAGGGGATTCCAGGATGACAACACCACAGAGAGCAGGGAAAAAAAGGAGGGGGGGGATAGAGGGATAAGGGGCAGAGGGGGGGGAACAGAGAGGGAGAAAGGTGGAGAGAGAATTTTTTTTTTTCAACAACCAGCTCCTCCCCTCTGGGTACCTCTATTCCACCCTCCACAGTGGCTCCTCCCCCCTTGTCACAAGCCTGATTCAAAACAAAAGTCACAAAGGGGCTTTGTTCTCTAGCCTCTAGGAGACTGAGCCAGCCTCAGGGAGGGTTGGGAACTTTGTGGAGTCCTGCTTTCCCCAAACAGTAACAGCCAGGCTGGGTGGCTGTCACCTCTGGTCTCCTTTGTACGTTTGCACAGGTCTGTATGTACCACATCAGTCAAAAGCAGTCTTTATTTCTGGATGCTTCAGAGCTGGGAACCACTAAAAACATACAGGACAGTGATTGCCATCACTGGAAAATGACTCTCAAATGACCCTCAAATAGTAATAAAAGATCCGAAGCAATGATGGTAAAAAGAGTTAGTACTCTATCCCCGAAGTAGGTACAGATGTTTCTGAGTTATTGTCCCTTTTAAAGACAGCATCTGAGGTAGCCCAGGCTGGCCTCGGACTTATTCTGAAGTCAAGGATGTTCTTGAACTCCTGATCCTCCTGATACCACATGTCAAGTGCTGGGGTTCACGTCCAGCTAGTTAGTGTACTGTGTGTGTGTGTGTGTGTATAGTCCTGAGGCCACAGAGGGTGTTGGAGGTTATGAGCTACCCAATGTGGGCACTGGGAAGTGGACTCAGATCCCCTTAACTATGTTCCACCTTGTTTTTTTTTAAATTTTTATTTATTTATTAAAGATTTCTGATTCTTCCCCGCCACTGCCTCCCATTTCCCTCCCCCTCCCCCAATCACGTCCCCCTCCCTCGTTAGCCCAAAGAGCAATCAAGTTTCCCTGCCCTGTGGGAAGTCCAAGGACTACCCACCTCCATCCAGGCCTAGTAAGGTGAGCATCCATCATCAGGCGATGAAAGGAGACAGAGACAGAGACCCACATTGGAGCACCGGACAGAAATCTCAAGGTCCAAATCAGGAGCAGAAGGAGAGAGAGCACGAGCAAGGAACTCAGGACCGCGAGGGGTGCACCCACACACTGAGACAATGGAGATGTTCTATCGGGAACTCACCAAGGCCAGCTGGCCTGGGTCTGAAAAATCCTGGGATAAAACCGGACTCGCTGAACATAGTGGACAATGAGGACTACTGAGAACTCAAGAACAATGGCAATGGGTTTTTGTTCCTACTGCACGTACTGGCTTTGTGGGAGCCTAGGCAGTTTGGATGTCCACCTTGTTTTTTGAGACAGTGTCTCAACTGCCTAGGCTGCCTGGGCAGGAAGTCCCAGGGATCCACCTGTCCCCACCTCCCCATCTCAGGGAGGACAGGCGCATGTCACTCAGTCACTCACTGGTGCCGGGGATAAAGCCCAAGTCATCATACAGCAAGCGCTTTATCAACTATGTCTTCTCCGCAGCCCCAGCACTTCTAAGAAATTAATCTCTCCTCTTTTAAGTAAAGAAAAAAAAAACTCGAAAAGCCATGAAGAACCTCAAGTATGTGTTTGTAACTGAAAGGACCCAGCCTGTGAGGGCTTCTCGCACCATGCCAGTGACAGAATCTGGAAAGCGAAGGCTGTCAGTGGTGGCCAGGGGCTGCGTGGGGAGGGATGGACAGGAGGGCAAAAGGGACATTTCAGGAGAGTGGATCATCTGTGTGACCCTGCCAGGTGGATACAGGTCAAAGTGCATCTGTCAAAACTCACCAGACGATGCATTCTAATTAAAATACGGTCTTCCGCTCAGTGGCAGAGCCCTTGCCTACCATCCCTGAGGCTCTCTCCTCAGCATCCCACAATCCCACAAGCAGATGGAAATCTTAACTGTAAGATGACATTTGTAGTTTCACTGAAAGTACTAATGTTGCTTGGCTAAGGAAAGGCTTTACTGGGCGGTGGTGGCGCACGCCTTTAATCCCAGCACTCAGGAGGCAAAGACAGGTGGATCTCTGTGAGTTCAAGGCCAACCTGGTCTACAGAGGTTTTTCCATAACAGGCTCCAAAGCTACTGAGAAACCCTGTGTAAAAAAAAAAAAAAAAAAAGACTAAAATCAAACAAATAAACAGAAAGAGAGAGAGAGAGAGAGAGAGAGAGAGAGAGAGAGAGAGAGAGAGAGAGAGAGGCTTTACTTAAAAGTCTTCCCTGAGGAAATGCAACAAGACAGCTTATTTGGGGCAAGAATCAGAGAGAAGTACCTTAGAGCCATGTACTATGAAAAGTAACATATAGAGGGTTAGTTTTCATGGCATAACAGGTTCTATTATTCCCTTCACAACAGATAAAGGTTAAGTACTAGGGTCAAGATCACACAGCTGGCAGAGGCCACACTGGAAGCCTGGTAGAGACAGGCTGCTCCTCACCACGACACCAGTTCCAGGCACTCTGTTAACCATCACAGTTGGGTACGTCGAAGCAAGTAAGCTGTGTTAAGTGACCTTAGGGACAGCTCATCCTAAACTGGACCAAAGAAACCGAGTCCAAGACAGACTCAGGAAACCTTCCTTGCTTCAGCATCTCCAAGGCTTGAGCAGTAGCTTATGCTGAATGAGGGCATGTCTCTGCCTGGGGAGCGGCGTGGGAAGTGGGAACAGTTAAACACAAATGTTTGCTAGTATCAGTTCCTACTCTGTGAGAGAGAAGCAGCTTCCCTTGCAGTGCAGAGGCTAATCCAGGTTGGGGACTCCCTCTCCACTTCAATGATTCCCCTTTAGAGAAACCAAACTCCACCCTCTTGCTACCCACGGTCCCAAGGTCTCTCTGTGTAAACTATCAGTGGTTTTATGAGCACACCTTTGGCATTCTAGGTCCTTCAGAATGGGTTCCGGGGTCCAGCTTGCGACAGACCTGACCAATCATGGCATTCCATCTTTGAGAACACACTGGTTCAGGGAAGGAAATTCAGAGCCAAACAGAAATAATGCTGGGATTTTCTCAAGCCTCCTGGAAAGATTTGTTCTTCCCCTGGGATTCTGGGCAAGCCCAGAGCTACTGGGGACTGTGATGCCTTCACCATGAGATGGGGAGGAGTCAACTTTAGTCATTACTTGAGTTTTTAAATCTAGCCCTTCCTGAAACCTGCTACCCCGGGCATTTGGGATCTTCATTTATTTGTTTGATTAATTTAGCATTCAAATTTTAGAGGGCTTTGACTAGTATCAGAGCTGAAGGACAGGCACTGTTATTCCTACGTGGGTACCTGGAGGTGTAAACTCATTGGTCTGTTGCCAACTTTCTCTGGTGTAGGCCCTGCAAGTGAGGCCACGTTAGCCATGCCTTTCCCATGCTTCGCTCAGGATCTCCAACCGTAAACAAAATCTCGAAGTAGCCTTTGGCTTTAATAAGCTCTTAGTGTCCAGGGTCCCTAACAAAAGAGGGAACACATGTTCCTTTGAAAAGCGCATGCTTCGTCTGCCTTGTTAGCGCTTCCTAAGATGTGCTCTGAGGTGTGACAGCCTTGGGTGTATTTGAATCTCTTAGCACTTACCTCATGCCTTATTGGTACTAATGAGCACAGGCTAGCTAAGTGTATCTGTATGTGTGGGGGTCTCACTGATGGAAGGAAATATCGGGGCAACACCACTGCAGCTTCCTAGAGCCGCAGGGCAGCCTGAAGAACATGCCTTCCATCACATGACAACTTGGGGGACCAACAGTCAAGAGAAGAGAGCCCAAGAGGCTGGCCACAAGATCCCAGTGCAGGAGGACATGACCATTTCGGCTCTTGGGTACTGGCCACTCCAAGGATAAGGCCCCCTCATGGCGCCGGGTTCCTAAAATACAAACTGGCTGAAGTCAGCATGAAAGGTGCCAACAGCTGCTCCTTCTGTGGCAAAGGAGCGTGCCCAGATGGTCCTTGGCCAGCAGAGTAAGAGCTTCTAGCATAAAGGCCAGCCCAGCCAGGATAGTCTCAGGGCGAGCTTTGTCTGAGTACGGTCCTGTCTCAAGTGATTTTGGTGGATCTATATTTTTGATGGTCTAAAAGATACCTTAAAAAAAAAAAAGAGGAGGAGGTGGACTTCATAAGGGTTGCTAGGGATGGAGTTCATTGACCCAGCGTGCACTGGGCTCTAGGTTCCAGCATGAGCACTACAATCAAGCCAACAAGAACAACTTGTCTTTAAAAAAAAAAAAAAATCTGACAACACCCAAGGTTGCTGAAGATTTAAGGAGAGATTTGCAATGCAATCAGTCAGAGAGTGGGCCCTCAGCCTGCCCTTCTGGGGTGCTCTCTGGCACGGTGTGCCGAGATTTAAAATGCAGATTATTTAACTCATATTTAGGACATCTTTTGCAAGGAGCTAGTGAACCAAAAAGCAGAGAGATGAATGGATAGCCATGCTTACTGTGGCGCTGTTTATCACGGGAAGCCTGAGGCAAACGGGGCAGCCAGAGGACCAGGAAATAAATGCTGGTGCCTGATGGAAAATTCCCCAGCATCCCAGGGTATCAGAATCTTCATCTACTGACTCCCGAAAAGCCTCCATCACACTGACTTAAAGCACATGCCAGGCCAGCACCTGGACCTGGGGTTTCCACCTAGTGACGCCCTAGGATCATTTGGAAAAGTGAAACAAATGATATAGACCTCAGAGTCAGACTTGATTAGAGGGCCTGGGGGTGGGGGGACAGAGACCTTGACTGGGGGCCCCAGAGTGGGTGGGTTTTTTTTTTTTTCCGGCAGCCTAAATGATTCTGAAGTGGAGACAGGTGAAGGACCACCCTGCCTTCCTGCTGCGCTGCTCTTTTGTTCTGGAGATGAGGAAGCACTTAGCGGCTTCACACCTCGGTGTCCAGACAGCTCTCATGGGCTAGTGTAGGCACGAGAGTAGCCAATACAATGCTCAGAGTGGCACTTGGTGTATGGTTTCTGTTGCTGTCACTATTTGCAGTATGTTTGCTTTGCTGGGAGTTGTGTGTCTTGCTGTGTCTCCCAGACTGGCTTTGAAACTCACATTTCTCCCGCCTCCCCTCTCTCAGTGAGTTCTGGGATAGCAGGCGTGTGCCATCACGTCTGGCCACCATTACTGCTCTGGTGTTTCTGACCTTCTAGTTCTACTGCAAGGAAATCTAACATTCCATTCAACCACTGCTTCTTAGCCCCTGAAGGGCCACCCTCCAGGAGAAGCTGTCAAAAACAGGTAGTGCTGCCAGCACCCCAGGACTAGCCAAGTCCCTCTGTCACCACGGCCCCTTGTAGAGGCCTCTAGGTTTCCAAAGGTGACCTCTAGCATGACTGTACCTTCTCCTGTCCCCCAGATGGACCGATACCAAATCCCTACCAACATCTCCACAGTCACAGGCGTCTGGCCTGGAACTTTATGTAAGAAGAGAGCAACTTGGATTCCAGCCACACTGGGACTTTCCCATCTGTCCTGAGCGGGGCTGCTGGCGCCCCTCCTACTAGGAGTCTGGCCAGGGGTCAGGGGTGCAGAGGAAGCCAACACATCTAGGTCCGACAAGGATATGAGTGTCTCTATAGGAAGTGAGGGCTCGACATGCTTCCCTGAGGAGCGGGCTGCACCCCGGGCTCCCACGCTTAACCTTGCAAGGCTGTGTAAAGGGACCGGCTCCTGAGCACGGCTCACACTTGGACCTGGCAACTGGGCAGATGCCGCTAAAGAGAAATGTTGCTAAATTTCAGTCTGCCGTGGGCCGTGTTCCAGCTGTACGTCTTCAGGAGACACCATTCTTTTGAGCCTCGGCTTGCACCTATCTGTCATGGGGAAGATACGAGGGGGCTGACTGCACAGGGTAACAGTGGGGACTGCAGGGACAGTGCAGCCTGAGGGCAGAGCTCGACAGTGACCATGTCAGGTGACGAGTGCCTCACCAGGACCGGGATTCAATATCACCGATGGGCCTCTGGGGCATCTTTGGCAAACTGAGAAAGGTCATTATTTAAGCTCCAGGGTAGGACCCAGCGGGCCTCCTTTAAGCAGGGTCCTGAGAGTACCTATCCAACCAAAACAGCAGGGTCTTTGGGTTCTGGTGAGCACATCCTCCCCCATCCTACTGTGACCTCACCCCTGAGCAGAAACAGGTAGTCTTGGGCACCCAGATGTCACCCCAGTTGCCACCAAATTTGCGTCCTCTGTCTGACCCAGAGGAGCTTATGAACGTTTAGCCGAATAATAGGGATGTTGGTGATGGAAGAGGGAAGTTAAGAGCGGATGGGGGGGGGGGGGCAAGCCTTCTGTCCTGGTGAGCCGGCTCTGGGATCGGTCTATGCATGTCCTCAGAGGGTCTCTGCAGGACTGAGCCTGGCTGTCTGTAACAGAGACAAGCTTATAAATACAACTGTTTGGGCGACCTGCTTCTGTGTTCTCCTTTAGGAGGCCACGACTCAATCAATATAAATCCCTTTCCTGAGTGTCTCAGACTCCACTTTCGAGAGACCCAGGCAAGACCCACAAGCTCTAAGCTCAGCGCCACCAGGGTCTGGTCCCCACTGTGATACTTTCTGTAGCGACCCTACACACTATGTCCTCCCATCATTTTCCTTTTACAAGTTAGAGACCCTGAGGCTCAGAGAGGCCACGTCATCCACTGAAAGGTGCAGGCAGGAAGTGGGAGAGGCAGGGTTTGCACATGGGCATTTGACTCTGGGATCCAGTTTGAACACTGCCAATGACTGAGGTGGAGGAGGCCAGGAGTGGTGTCATGGGGGCCTGCGTCCATCTAGCACACTGCATAGGCTGCAAACCCAAACGCCTGCAGGGAGCCAGGGAACCAATGTCGGGGGGGATCAGCAGAGGGTGGCAGAAGGCGTGGCAAGCAGGAAGTATTCCCACATAAGGGCAGCCAAAAGTGTGAGGAGGGGCAAGAGGCCTGGCCTTCCAGGGCCCAGTGACTCAAGTGAGATTCAAGAAAACCTGCAGCCATGTAGAAAGGCTGGCTCGGCATTGTTAGACCAGGAGATACACTGTTTTAAATTGGTGTCATTTTCAGTGTGGATGCTGCTGGGGATAGACCCAGGGCCTGTGCACGTGGGGCAAATGCTCTATCATTGAGCTTCCCATGACTTTGAAAAGCCAGAAACATGGAGGATTGTGGTGGTGGTGGTAAATTGTGTGTGTTGTGTGTGTATAGGCATGAGGTCAACCTCAGATACTGTTTTTCAGAAACGATCTGTCTTTGGAGATACTAGGGTGTTGGGGTGTCTAGGGCTCACAGATCATCCGCTTGCCTGGAGGCCTACCTGCCTCTACCTCTTAGCACTGGACCTATCATGAGATGTGCCGCCACACCTGGCTCTTCTCTGGGTTCTAGAGAGTGAACTCAATCCTCTTGCTCGCCCTGACAACACTTTACTAACTGAGCCATTTCCCCAGCCCCATCTCTTGGATTTTTATAACCAATGAGGGAGCAATTGGCAGGAGGGAAACATACATAAAAATAGCTCTGAGTCGGTGTGAGCGTGGGGGCCGGCCATTCATGACCATCGAGTCTGCCCTGGCTATGGCCTTCCGGGGACTGTCCCAGGCCCAGCAGTGACCACTTTACCTGCATTATGCTCATCCATTGAGAAGGCCTTGTTCTCCATGTAGGCCCGAGGCAGGTGCATGTCCTCCTCAAACGCCGTCTCCCGCATCCTGGGCTGTGAGGTGTCAAAGTAGTTGGGTGGGTTCTCCTGCAGGGGTGGGAGGAGGGTGCAGTGGATCTCCGGAATGGCGTGGAAGATGACAAAAACCCAGCCACTGGCTGCCAGGGTGATGGCCAAGGTGGGGTCACTCCAGGCATCTCCCTGCTTAAAGATCGAGTTGCCGAACAGGTACATGGTCATCCAGACCACCCAGATGAGCAGAGAGAGGAAGGTTGTGATGAGGATGAAGGCTCCGTTCACCTTCCACCGCCTGAACTTGCCACACAGTGTGAAGAGGGACTGTGTCAGGGTGATGACCAGCAACACCATGTCGTAGATGAGCGCCATCACAAAATCCATGGGCTCGTAGGCGCAGGCTGACTTGGTGTCACGCAGCACGGTCAGCACCAGCCACTCGGTGGCAATGATGACCTGCACCAGCATCAGGCACAGTGCCAGGCTCACTAGCTGCCAGCCGGCTGGGCTCGTGCCCTGGCGCACCAGCCTCCGCACCCGCCACGCCTGGCTTAGCAGACAGGAAAAGCAGAGCGCGAAGAGGACACCCCAGAGGAAGCGTCGGATGGAGCAGATCGTCTCGTCCATCCGAATGATGAAGGCAAATGTCAGTCCAAAGAGGCCCAGGGTCCCCAGCAGGAAGAGGAAGTGGAGACACACGGGCCTCCTCTTCTCCTTGTCCTTGATGAAGGGCAGTCTCACCAAGAGGATGAGCATCAGGAGCAGTGTGATCAGGGCCCCCGCCCCGGCCACTGCCTCCACCACGATGCCCCAGATGGCGTCCAGGTCGCACAGGGACACGTACTGAGGGAGAAGGTCCAACCCACAGCCCCGGGATGTGCTGGCGTTCTCTGAAGCCACCGAGGCAATCACCAGGAGCAGGGGCAGGGGGAACACTTGGTGGGTTCTCATCTTTCTCTCTGACACCAGGAAGATTCTAGAAAATGGGGACAAGCAGGGAGAAAGCTCAATCCACAGCAAGGCCCCACTTTCCTGATTTCCGGAGGCCTTGCCTCTTGTCAAACCCGGCAGCCCTCAAGGCTCCTTCAGGCCTTTGAGATAAGGGCATCGGTTTTCTCAGTGCGCTGTGGTCCCTATCCCAGGCTCTCTGCCTCCCACTTGAACCCTGACCCAGATTAGTAGCCATGAGCCGCCATCAGCAGTGGCTGGAGGGCCAATGGAAGGGAGACTCACCTAATCTCTCTACTCCTCTGTTGTCTGTAAATCTGGCATCTCCCAAAGTAAGGGGACGAGAGGCATTTTTAAAGGGATAGCCACCAGCCAGGTACTTGACTGGGCAACACCCCTTATTTCTTCCTTATCCTCAAAGGCTAAGGGGAGTATTTACTGACCACGCACTCTAGACCAAAACCTGGGCTCATCCAGTCCTCATAATGCCCTATGAGGCAGCAGGTCCCATTGTGACCTCCATTTTCAGGTGACAAAACAGGGTCTTCAGGCTCTGACACTCACCCCAGGGCACGCAACCACACTCCAGGAAGCCACCGCTCTCAGTAGAGGGAGAGACCCCCCCCAGATTTACACATGGGGTACATCCTGTGGGCCCAGCCAAGTCCCCTGCACCCACAAATCCAACCAAGCTCAGATGAAGAATACTCGAGAAAAAAAAAAAAGAGTCTGTCTGTCCTGAACACGTGCAGATATTTTTCTGTTGTCACCTAAACATGACGCAACAAGGGTTGACATTGTATTAGGTATTGTAAGTGACCTAAAAGTCCACGGAGCATGGGCATAGGCTGTGCATGAATACAGTGCCCTTCACAGAAAGGCCTGGAACATTAGCTGGATGCTGGCACCCGGGGCAGTTGGCATCCAAGGGGTCCTGGAACATTTCCTGCGAATGTGTCTGTCCATCCGGAAGGGATGTCTCCATGCTCTGTCCCCCTCACACATCTTCCTCCCCCATAGATCTCCCGAGGCTCTATTCTTTCCAACTCCCCTGTTATCCCTGTCCTGGCAGAGTTCAACCTGCCACACTCTTCTTCCACGTGCTCTAGATGCCCAAGGACAGTGCTGACCCAGACTCGTCTTCCCGTTAAGACACATCCCTATTATTTTAACTTTCTTTTTCTACTTTAATTGTTAAACTGAGGACCTCATGCATGCTAGGCAGCAGCTGGGCTACATCTCTGATCCCTTTACATTTTTTTTTGTTTTGTTTTGTTTTTAAATTTTCAGTTTGAGGTAGAGCTATACTACCTTGGTCCAGCTGGCCTCGAATTCACCAGAGGCCAGGCCGGGCTCGCACTGGCGACTTTGAGCAGCAGTGTATAGGCAGGTGTCACCAGGCCTGGTCCTGCAGAGATGCTTCCACTCCACTCCCCACTCCCAGCTCTCCTCAAAAACCATCAGTCAGTTCAGACTCCGCCAAGGTCGATGAGGCTCCCACAGACAGGGTCTTGTAGGTGGAGCGCTAATCAAGTCTGCCATTTTTTGCCTACTTTGTTTCCTTTCTCTTCCCCTTTCTCCTCTCCTCCTTGTTTTCATCTGCAGCGGTAGGCAGGGAGGCAGAGACAGTATCTTTTACTCACTTTTACTCCTTCGTAGTAGACTCCGCTTTCCCAACCTTGTCACATCTGGCATCTATCCCGGGTGGGTCTTTTTTTATTTCCCTGTCCTTGGGATATCCTATGCATCATAGGAATGCGTCTCACCAACCCAGCTTCTATACGCGGCCAAATATCTCCTGGGTGAGGGGCACAAATGCACCCACTAAGGATTGCTGGTGAAGATGCCAGTATTAAGCAAACAGCGTCTGGCACAAAGCAGGGGCTTGGGAAATCCCCACAGAACAAGAGCTACCCACAGGCAGCAGCTCCTTGCTTCTAAGTGGGCCTTCAAGAAGCCACGTCTGCACAGCTGTGCCCCAGACTCATTCCTAGTCATGTTAAGCTAGTTTGGGGTTGTAATTCCACCTGTGGGTAGGTCTGTAACCAGTCACCCTCCCCACAACACAATGCCAGACATCCCTGGGGCTTCCCTTAAGTAAATGCAGTATTGACCACCCCTCTTCTCCTCTCCTTTAGAGAGAACCCTTGTGCATCCTGGGTCCCTCCCTGGCCTTCAGGCCATCGACCCTATAAATAATGGATGCTGTAGAAAATGGCTGGTGGGGTGGGTTGGTCTGCTGCGCTTACAGAGAGAAGGCAAGTTACAAAAGAAGGTACTTGGATAGAGGGGCTCCTTAAACAAGATTCCCCCCACTCAGGTAAATATAGGGGTGGGGCTACACTCCAGATATTGGCCACCAGCTTGTAGTCTAGTCATATTAGTGCCACGGAGGCCCCATCAGCAGTTCCCTGTGCAGTCATTTATTCAACTGTGGCCTTTTACATTGACCACTTGAACCGACCCCAAGAAATGAAAATACTTCTCTCTTGATATTTCTAAACTGTGCTAGAGAGCTCAGTTGGTCAGGGTGCTTGTTGCCAATGCCGCCAAGTCTGAGAACCTTGGATCCCTGGGACCCACAGGGTAGAGCCCCTGCAGCCCCCGTGTGTGTATGTGCACCCCCAAGGTACATGGTACATGGTGCACTTTGGAGAGACATCATTCGGAACAGAGCCGCTAAGCAAGGCTGGGAAACATGCTGTGAATCAAAATTTAAGAACAAGATGGGACAGGACAAGCTGCCCTTGGTCCACAAGAAGGTGGGGAGGGTCTCCAGAGTGAACCCCCATTAGGAGAGTTCTCAGCAACACACTCAAGGGAATCGCTCTAGTTTATAGCCAATCCCATCTTCCCCTGGAGGTGAGGAAATGACGTTTGGGAAGATGCTTCTGGAAGCTGAATCATTGCCCCTCCCCCACCATCTCTCACCTACACACCCTTTGACCGATTGTTCTCAACCAGGGGCAGTTTTGGATGTCACAAGAATGGGCATCTGTGGAGCAGAGACCAGGCCTACAATGTGAATAGCAGTCTCCACCGAACAGAATGACGTAGGTCAGTTAAGACTACGGTACCAAGGCTGAGGAAGGCTGATTTTAGACATCAAAGTCAGAAACCATGAAAGACCCCAGAAATCCCCCACCAGGTCTTGGTCGGGCCTATACCTCACCATCTTTGCTTGCAGGACTTGGCTTTTTTTTAGGTGTGGCAGGCCACTCTTTCTGGCAAAGCTCCTCCTTCTGAGCCTGGCTGTAGACCAAGGCTTGGTTTCCTCAGCTCTTCTTGCATGCTTCCTGTCTCTCCTGTCTACCCCAACCAGAAAGGGGTAACACCAAGACGGCACCCACTCTCCTGAGACTGTGCAGTATTCTTGGAGTCCACGGCCGGGACTGTAGTTTCCGCTTCTTTTCGGCCACAGCAGATGGACCCTCTCATGCTCTGCTTTCTCCTTCAAGGGCAGCTATTGGTTTGGTCACAGCAGCTGCTCCTCTCATTTCTGCAAAGAGCTTCCAATTTCTTTTTGGAGAGTTACCTTAAGTCCTAGCTCCCAGCTGGGGGTCTGGTACGAATTAAGAGGGCAACGTCCCCAGGAGGTGGAGTTATTTTAAAGATCAAGGGGTCTTTAGGAGGTGGGGCTTGGTGAGTGGAAGTAGGGACCTTTGATAGTTAATGGTCTGGCTTTTGGAACCCACAGCAGAGTCTGGTCTAAGGCCAAGGGAGGATGCCATACACAGCCACAGCCGTGCCATCCCAGTCACGATGAAGCAGGGCCTGGCCTAAGGCCACGAGAAGAACCAATGCCATCATACACCGCCACTGCTGTGCCCCCCCCCCTCCCGTCAGGATGAGGCGAAGTCTCAAAAACCACGAAGCAGAGGGGGCCCCTTTCATCTCTTTGTTTTGATCAATTAGTTACCTTGTGTGTCAAGAAATGTAGCTGTGATGGTTAACATCAGCTTGACAGACTCTAGACTCACCTGGGAGATAAGCCCCTGGACGTGGCTGTGAGGGATTATCAGGGTTAGGTTAGCTGAGCTGTGCAGACCCACACTGTGCAGTAGGCTGGGGTCCTGGACCGCAGGAGGAGAAAGTGACCCGAGTAATAGCACCCATCTCCCTTGGCCTCCTGACTGTGGATGCAATGTGACCAGCTGCCTCAAGATCCTGTAGCCTTGACTACTCTGCCCTGTACCCTCCAGCTGTGACCTGAGGTAAACCCTTTCTTCTCTTAAGTTCCTTTCCTCAGGGTCTATTCTCACAGCAACAGGAAAAGTAATTAAAATTGTAGCTAAGGTAGCACCAGCCCAGGCTTGGCCAATCTGGACGTTGTCAGTCCTCTCTGGCTGAACTGATTGCGTCACAAATAGGCCCGTGGTTTGACACAGAGCTACGAATTGGCAGGAGGGTTTGACATTCACTGGAGGGACGTCTTCTCTTTGAGATGGAATTGATAAGTTGGAAGGTTAGAGTCTTGTCACGGGAGAGGACAGATCTCTCTGCCAAGGAGAACCTGTCTGAGGGTAAGACTGACCCAGAGGATCAGCTAGGAGATGGGCTTGAGTCCTAATCCATTGAAAGGCAGCTGGATTCAGCCATGTCTGGTACCAGCAACCAATTAGCTACATAGTGTGAATGACACCAATTTGACTTGGGTTTCTGTCACTTGCCAACAGGTTCTCAAAAACCTAGGAGGAATGGCCCCTTCTTGACCCATAACTAGGCATATAGATGAAGCCAAGCCCTGCCAGGCACCCGAGGAGAGAGCCCAGTTGCCTCAAGCTGGTGACTACTGGCTCTAAGGAAGATGATGAGGTGTGGCCACCCAAGTCCACAGAACTGTGTATAGGATGAAGGGAAGGGGTTACCCTGAAGCCAAGGCCACTAGCTCATCTAGGATTTCCAGGGGGTCCTATTTCTGTCACACTGACAACTATAGTAACTGCTCACCGGGCTCCCTGAAACATACAGTAACATCCAAGGATCTGCCAAAGGGAGGTGGTACAGGCCTGTAATCCTGGCATTTGG